TCAATGAGACATTTGTAGCAGTTTTTTTGCAGTGTTTTGATTTATTTTTTAGCGGCCTTGCATTTTCTAGCGTATTATAAAACTGCTAGTATTTGTAGCAGTTTCACAATTTGTAGCGGTTACAAATTGTAATTTTTTACTTTTTAAAAAACTGAACCAATTTTAATTTATACATATTTATTTATGAAAGGCAAATTTTTTGAATGATAAAAATTTTTAAAACTGCTATTCTTGATCATCATCCTGCCTGAAAAGAGATACTTAAAAAAATTATGTTAGAATTATAATATATTTAGAAAAAATTAGTAATTAGTAGTTAATTATTTAAATAATTTAAGAAAAGACATATACTTGATAATTGCCAAATTATCATCTCCTTCAGGAAAGAAGTTTTCAAAATTCAGGGGTTGGAAGGGTTCGCTGTTGTAAATAATGTCACCATCACCCATATCATAAAGATCCCATGGCTTAAGGTGAACGACCATATTCCAGTCTTTATGTTTCTCGTCCTTGACATGGTAAACCTGGTATGCCTCGGAAGCAAGAATATATGGTTCATCATCTTCAGATTCCCTCGTATGAATAAGTCTTGAGAAATTAACAGAGGTGATGCCCAAGTGGTTAGTAGTGAGTCCCCGTGGAGTTGTCTTATTTGCCCAGGAGCACTTCAACAAAGTTATGGTGAAAAGCTGGTAACTTAACTCAATGATGTCAATTAGCTTTCCATAGTAAGTGACGCCTCTAAAGCGCATATCACCGTCACTATTGCTAGCATAACATCTCGTCTCGAATGTCCCACAAACTCTAAAGTTTTGTGTGAGCAATCCCTGATCACGTCCAACCGTACAGAACTTGAAGCCGTTGACATTACACGCAGTAAACCTTCATGCATGGTCTAACAGACCGAGGGAAAGAGCTTTGAATTCATCTGTGTATGGGCTGTTGTCATTACGTATTCGACATGTAAACCAACCGAGAAACTCTTTGTGGACTCTTTTATCAATGTCAGCGGAACGCGCATGCTCCTGTAACTGCCACTTGAGGTAACTTCTAAACTCACTATAATGAAGTGTAATTTGTTAAAAGAGTCAGTGAGAAATAAATATAAAGCGTAAAAGTTAGTGAGCTTATATAATACTTACTGCATGAAGGGTTCAACTTGGCTACAATTTATCAAAACATGTTTGTGTGCCTGGAGTTTCTCTGTGGGAGTGAGTCTAAGGAATTCATATCCTCCAACTGGTTTCCTGACAGGAGGAAATAAAGTTGACGTGGAAGGACCAGGAGGAGAATCATCTACGCAACGCGGGCGATTAAAAGATGTCTCCATGTCATCAAAGTACCTTGAACAGAAAGTTAGGACCTCATCTCCGAAATAACCTTCTGCTATTGACCCCTCAAGCCACGCCTTATTCCTAACATATGATTTTAATTTTTCCAAGTACCTGCAGGTTAATATTCCGTTAATAATTGCGAGCAAATGAAATAACAATGTGAAATTGAAAGAGGCGGCTAGGGATAAAAGATAATCAATTGTACCTCTCTATAGGGTACATCCATCGATATTGAACTGGACCAGCAACCTTTGCTTCTCAAACAAGATGGACAGTCAAGTGAACCATAACAGTGAAGAATGATGGAGGAAATATCATCTCCAAGTGACAAAGTGTAAGAATTATTTTATTTTGCAACTGATCAAGCTCTTCTGCTATCAAGACCTTCGCACACAACTTCTTGAAAAATGAACACAATTCCACCAAAACCACTGATACATCAGAAGGAAGTGTGTTTTTCAAGGCCAATGGAAGTAACTGTTGCATAAGAACATGGGAGTCATGACTTTTTAACCCAGTAACCTTTCGAGCCTGCAGATCGATACACCTTGAGATGTTGATAGAATATCCATCTGGTACTTTTATCTTCTTCAGCGTTAAAAGAAAGATATCCTTTTTCTACTTCGTCAAGGTGAGTTTAGCTGGTTGAAACTTGTCGTTTTCATCAAGCCAAGCTTCTTCATGAATTCCCTAGGCCTGAAATCTTTTCTAGCTGCGAGATGGTCTTTAGACTTTCCAGCTTCATTGAGCAACATATATAGCACATTATCGCACACATTTTTTTTCAATGTGCATAACATCCAAACTGTGTCATAGCAAATTAGATTCCCAATAAGGAAGAGTGAAAAATATGCTTCTCTTTCACCATTGCATAGGTTGCGCATCAGATGTCCCACGAGATTGTCATCCCAGTCGATCGGGATCGACATTCTTACCAAACTTGACATTAACATCTTCTAACTACCACAAAATATCCACACCAGACAAAGTAACAGGAGGATCTCTCTTCTCCTGTTTCCCATCAAAGCAAATTTGTTGCAATCTAAATTTGTGCTTGGAATCAAGGAACTGTCGATGTCCTATGAAGCACCACTTGCGACTGTGTGGAAGGCGACATGGCACGAAATTAAAATTGCACTCAGGACAGGCCAACCCAGTATGCACATTCTAGCCAGACAAAGTTTCCAAACTGGGAAAATCACTTATTGTCCACATCAAGGCTGCACGGAAATTGAATAGTCACTTGTCATATAAGTCATATGCCTCAACACCATTCGTCTACAGGTCGATCAATTAGTGTATCATTGGTTGCAGGTATGCATCTATATCACTTCCTGGTGCTTTCTTGCCAGGAATGATCATGGAAAGTAAAAAGGAGCTCTGCTTCATGTACATCCAAGGTGGTAGATTGTATGGAATTAACACCACCGGCCAGACACTGTAACTTATGCTCATGTTTCCGAAGGGATTGAAACCATCGGTTACTAATGCAAGACGTACATTTCTAGGATCACTGGCAAAGTCTGGAAATTTTGCATTAAATCTTCTCGTGGGTGCCTTAACCTGCCATTTAGATTTTGCTAAGTCATATGCCACCTCATGTGCTAAACTGTTTTTGATGACATATACATTCTTTGCAACCATGGTTTCAAAGGAAAGTATCTAAAGAAATAATGTATTAAAAATTTCAAATATCAAATATTTAAATACTGAACAAGTAACACATTACAATCAATTGTATTAAGAATTTCAAATATCGAATATTTAAAGATGGAACAAGTAACACATTATAATAAATTGTACTTGAGAATTTTGGCTGGTTTCTTCTTATGCTTTTTCCCTTTCCGTACTGACTTATAGTGAGGTGTCTTACATCTTGTACAAATCTCCTTGTTTGTATCATCTCCCTAGTACAACATACAGTCGTTTGGGCATGCATTTATCTTCTTGTAGTTCAAGCCAAGCTTGTTAATAATCTTCTTTGCTTCACAAAAAGATGGAGGGAATTTAGCTTGAGGGAAAGCATCTCTCAGTAATTCCAACAGTATGGACACTGCCTTGTCAGTCATACCACGCAAGCATTTGATATGATACAATCTCACCAAGAATGACAACTTAGAATACTTTGTACACCCAGAATAAAGAGAAGTGTCAGCTTCGCTCATGAGGTTAAAAAATTCCTGAGCAGTTTCGTTTCTAAGAAACTCTAGTTGAGGCCCCTCTACTTCATCTTCGTTGGGATTCTCACTTTCATGAACGCCAAAAGCATCACGCACAGTATCATTCACGGCATCGGCTTCATCCACTCGAACTCCTATCCGTGAAACTGCTGGAACTGACTCAGGAACCATATCTGGTCGTTCCCCATGTAGTTGCCAAAATATATACTCTCGCAGGAAGGGCTTAAAGATCAAATGTTCTCTAACAATATCTCTGGGATGCCACTTTTTGAAATTACATTTAGGACATGGACACTGGATCTTACCATTTACGGCGGCATTAGCAAAAGAAAAATCTAAGAAATAGTTTAGACCAGCCAAGTATTGCGGAGTCGACCGGTGCAAGTTGATCCACGACCTATCCATCACTATGTTGCTCAAATTTCATGAACATATGACATAGGAAGCTCAAAGAGAAGTTAAAATGAATTTCAAATGGAGTTCTTCAGCTTATAAAGAAGGCTGTCAAAGGTTACGTAACGGTCAATTTTTTGTAGCAGTTATAAACCGCTAGCGGTTTTAACAACTAGAAATTTGCATTCAAGAGCATTTTGTAGCGGTTATATATTTTCTAGCGATTCGAAACCGCTAGAAGTTTCGAGCCGTGACAATGGTTACATTTTTTCTAGCGATTTATAACCGCTGGAAATTTTGAGGGAGCACGAAATTTGAATTTCCGGTGAATGTTCTAGTAGTAAATTAACCACTAGAAATTTTTTATTTTCTAACAGTTTACAACAACTAGAAATTTCGAGGGAGGAGAGAAATTTGAATTTTCTAGCGGTTAATTAACCGCTAGAAATTGTTAACATTTTTGTTTTGCAGCCGTTTATAACTGCTACAAAATATCCGTTAGAATAAATTAATATTTATTATATTAACTTTTACAAAAATATTAAAATAATAAATAGGTATTAAAAGGTATTAATAATATATGTATGCCTAAAATTTAAAAAATTTCATGATATGTTAAATATTAAAATACATATTCTAAGAATGAATTTTAATGTTAAAAGAATATATGTTTAGCATGTTTTATATAGTGCAACAATATATTAAGTAATACTTAATATAAATAAAATTATAGAAATAAATAATAAAAGTAAACAAATAAACATAAAATTTAGATAAATTTCCACATAAAACATAAGATAATAAAATCCAAATCCAAATAAAATCCTACACAAGCAAAATAGGGGAAATCAGGAGTGAGGGGCAGAAGCAGCATCATCGTGATCGTCGGCCATTGGATCCTCCTACTAGTTCTGCTGGGGTGGGCAGGCAGCTGATCGTGCTGGGGCTGGACTAACTACTGGTCATGCAGGGGTGGGACTGGTAGCAGGCATACGTCAGGGATCTTAGGAATCAGGATGTTTGGAGCGATAGTGATCACCACATCACGCATAGCCATAGCAGCTACCTTCAACTGGTCAAGCTGTAACTGGAACTAACGATCACGCTCCTCCATCCTGGCCTCCATCTCTCGCTTGAGCTCCTCTCGCAGCTTGTCTGAGGATGAGGAACCCGGCCGCTTCGCTCCTGCGCTCGCCTGAGAGCTCCCTACAGTGTATGAAGGGCCAGCGCCACTGGAGCAGGGCAACCTAGTCGATGTGGGTCCAAGACCGAGCCCGCTAACTTGACCAGGGTGCTGTCCTCAGCCACGACCTGCTAAAAGTGAGGCGGTGGGATCCAAGGCAGACCCCTGAGACTCACGCAACTCGGCATCGACTTAAGTCATCCGCGCCTATCAAAATTAATATAAAGATATTAATTAGTATGAAATAGTACTTATACTGCGATATGATATTAATATTTAATTAATTACTTACCGCCATCTCCTCAACCTCATCCGGCGCAAGCCTGTCTCGAGGTCTGTACAGAATCGGCCACATCTCGCCATAGGTGTGCGTGTATCCCCGCTCCTGCCGCATCTTTTCCCTCTGTAAATGAAATGAAAGAAATTATTAATTACAAATTAAATACATATACACATTTAACAAATTCTTTTCAAATATTTACAATCTCGTCATAGGTGATAGCAAAGCTCCTGGATCCAACTCTATGACGTATTGTCTAATGCCTGACGCTCCTAGTATTTCTCTGGGAAAGAGCCTAAAACAAAATATAAAAAAATTAAATTAAATTAGTCAAATTGGACAAAAAAATAAAAAAATTATAATTAATGCAATATTATCATACCATCTGGTCAGCCGACATCCTAAAATAAACATAACTTGACTAGTCTTGCTCCGAGACTCCACCAGGTATATCTGTCAGTATCTCCTGTAGGGGCCTCGTCCCGTCACCTTTCTTCTCCCGCCATAGGTCAGCCCTCCTATTCTTTCATGCCACCCCCAGTCTCTTGATCGTATCCGCCATCAACTCTTCTCCCAGTATAAATTTACTCTGTAATTAAAAAAATAAAGAAAAACAATTAAGCAATTTAAATAAAAAATATATATTCATTTAACTTATTTAAAAAATTATAAATAAAAAATAAATTATAAATAACAAATCATAATCAAATAATTAAGTATTTTAAATAAAAATATATTTTGATTCAACTAATTTAAAATTATTATAAGTAATAAATTAATGAAATAAATAAAAAATTATTATTGAACAATAAAGTAATTTAAATAAAAAATACATATTCATTTAACTAATTTCAAAATATTATCAATAAAAATAAATTACAGCAATAACAAATCATAATCAAACAATTAAGTGATTTAAATAAAAATATATTTTCATTCAACTAATTTAAAATTATTATAAACAATAAATTAATGAAATAAATAACAAATTATAATCAAACAATTAAGTAATTTAAATAAAAAATATATATTCATTTAACTAATTTTAAAATATTATAAATAAAAATAAATTACATTAATAACAAATCATAATCAAATAATTAAGTAATTTAAATAAATATATATATTCATTCAACTAATTTAAAAATATTATAAGTAATAAATTAATGAAATAAATAATAAATTATTATCAAATAATAAAGTAATCTAAATAAAAAAATATATATTCATTTAACTAATTTCAAAATATTATCAATAAAAATAAATTACAGTAATAACAAATCATAATCAAACAATTAAGTAATTTAAATAAAAAATATATATTCATTTAAGTAATTTAAAAAAAACATATATTCATTTACTTAAATTAAAAAATTATAAATAATAATTTTATATTACTTTCATCATTTCCCAACCTTTTTGCTTCTTCTCCTGAGTGATTTTCTTCTAATCCTTCAAATAAATAGGGAACAGGGTCCACTGCTGACCAAGAAGGCGCACATACTTGTTATACAGCTGGCCACCTTTCTTGGTCGGTTGGCCCAATTCATTCAGCGGCACAACCACTCGTCCGCTAGTCGTCATAGATAGCTCTCTGGCTGTCAGCCTCCTATAGGACCTGTTCCTCTAAGAGTCTGCAAAATTTAATTAAGAAATTAATTATGTATTAATGAATTAAAACAATTTCTATATAAATTAAATAGTTACCAAATTTAAAAAAGTTAAATAATACTTACCCTCAAATTCCACTTCAAAACCAGTCTGGCGTCTGGGAGTAGGGCGCTGCTTAGTATGGGGATTCTTATTCCCCTGAACCTGCTCCTCCTCCTCACCAGTATCACCATGGGGTTGTTCATCCCCTGAAAAATGAGCCTCCTCAGTCTGCTGGATATCATCGTGCTCCATAAAGCTCAGGATATCCTCCTCGTTTAGATCGTAGTCATGAATACTCGGGAATGGCTCACCAGCATCATGACAGCCACCACCACGATCCTCGCTGAGTCTTGCTCTCTCAGCATCAATCGGCTCTTTCCCTCGTCGACGACTTATCCTAATAATAGCAAATAGCAATTGAAATTAAAAAATATATTTTATAACTAACAATTATTCAAAAGAAATAATTATATCAAATAATAATTATTTCCATTAACTCTAAATAATAATATCAAATAATATTAATTGAAAAACAGATATTCCTATATCTAAATTTTCTGTTAACTCATTAAAAAAAATATAACTACTTCTATTAACTCTATGAAAAGTAGCCTACTATAAAAAAAAATTTCTATTAACTCTAACTAAATTAAGCTAGTCTATCAAAGTTAATATAAAAAATATAATAAAATAAAGAATAAAAACAAAAATTATTTATAAATAAATTACTATTCTTATCTGAAAATATGAATCTGCAACTGGATCTAGATCTGGATCTGGATATACTTCGTGGAGAGAATTCGGTAGAGCTCCGCTTCAAAATTGGCCAAACAATGAAAATGACGCGGTGGGGGGTATATATAGGCCGCGATTTTCTAGCAGTTTTAAAAGAATCGTTAGAAAATTCTAGTGGTTCTATTAAAACCGCTAGAAATTTCTAGCTGTTGCACCACACCACCCCTTGTATTCAGCCATGTGGCACAACTCCTCGGGAAAAATAAAAAATTTCTAGCGGTTTTCTAGCGATTTCCGTTAAAACCGCTAGAAAGTTTGTTGAATTACTAACGGTTTCTCTAACTGCTAGAAAATGGAATGGCAATTTGCATTCTCTAGCGGTTACATCACCTAAACCGCTAGAAAATAAACGCTAGAAGTTTGGCGCAAACTTCGTGCCAAAATGTACGAACGATTCTGGTGGTCACTTTCTAGCGGTTTACCAATAACCGCTAGAAAATTGTGGGGCCCACACCGTTTTGGGTCAAAGTGCTACGAATTTCTTGCGGTTTGCGATTAAACCGCTAGAAATGTTTTAATTTGTAGTGGTTTTCTGTAACCGCTAGAAATGTTCTGCTGGTACTTCTACTGTTTTTGTAGTGTCTTGTCTTCCTCAAGGTCCAAGTATCCATACTTCAATGACTTATATGTGATTGTGGCTTTCGGGGTGGCCTTCCATATGTCATGTTAAGCTCTACATGTGTCCATGTCATCATCCAAGCAATGATCCATGTCTTCCTCAATATAAGTATTCTCGAGTTTTAAATTCCTTAAATAATATGGATGGCTTGTAAGGCCTCTAACTGAATGAGTTCCATTTCGACTTCATGACCTCTATATTAAACGCCTCCTGGCATGCTATCAACTATAATTTAAACCATTAAACTACTAGAAAACTTGAATTAGAAGAGAAATTCAAGCTTTTAACTTCATTTGACACTTGATTTGACTAGGTATCACTTGATTCTCTTCTCCTCTTCTTCCTCCCTAGCTTGGCTAAAATATTCTCTCCCTTTCACTATTTGGAATTGGTCAAAAAGTGTCTCAAGAAGGGAGGGAAGATCATATATGTAGGATGGTTAAATCTTATCCTTAGGTAAATATCTTTTTGCCTTATAATTTGAGTGCCATTTTCACCAAAAATTAGGAAGAAATTTTGTCTCACCAAGCTTATACTCATCACACTGTATAATCTCCTGTTATTGATTGAATTTTTCTTGGATCCTGTTAAATCCACTACTTCTAAAACTTTATTTCTTTGTGCCAATAGCTTTCTTTTAATGATGAGAGATTTCTCAAATTTTCTCAAAATTTATTTCGACTCGTATCCCCTAAAATTTTTTTTCCAAAATCAGCCTCTCCTACTGATAGAAATTAAGCTTTAAATATTTTTAAAGCTATCCTCTGCACTTCCTAAGGCTGGGAATGATTCTAAAATTCATGATAATCCCCAAGGAATTTTCCTAAATTTTTTCATGAATTATTGAGGCATCTAAGTATTTTAAATAATTCAATCTATCCAATTTTGCCTTGCTTAGCCAAAATTACAAGAAAATAATAAAAATTCCAAGATAAATTATTTTTATCACATATTCAGTTTTCAGCCCTCAAACATTGTTCCTTGCCCTTTCTTCTATTTTTCATGATTTTTCTGAGAATTTTTAGGAATTCCATATGTACCTTCCTATACTGACCAATATTTATCGGATATTTTAAAACAACAATCCAGTCCTGGATCTGATCTCAGTTCAAAAGTTATTCCATCTAAGTTTTGATAGCATACAATATGGAGGTCATGAAGCCCAAGTAGCACTCATCCAATTAGAGGCCCAACAAGCCCTCCAGAGTATTCAGGAAATTTATAACTCAAGAATGCTTACATGGAGGAGGACATGGATCATTTCTTGGATGATGACATGGACACGTGCGGAGCTTGATGTGACATATGGAAGGCCACCCCGAAAGCCACCATGGCATGTGAGTTGTTGGAGTAGAAATACTTGGACCTTGAGCAAGACAAGAGCACGTGTTATAAGAGCCCAAAAGGAGCATTTGAAGCCAATTCTTATGTTATTAAAGGCCCAACACAATTATATGTGCATGGAGGAATCCATTAGAGCTATAATCTTTTAAATTGGAACCCAAATGCATTGTGTTATGGACTATGGGAGTTTCAGAACGTGATTCAAATATATTCAAGCCCAAATGGATGCCTAAAAGGCCCATGCATGCTTATGGACGTGAATAGTAATTATGAAGATCCATTTGGAAGGTCCAAAAAGATTCAAGAAGCATCAAGTGTAATATTATTGACATTAATTAGATTTTGTTTTAGTTTCCTATTTTGCAGTTTCCTATTTTCAAATAGCAGACTTGTTCTTGAAGTTTAAGTTATTCCCTTTTATTTCTATGTAATAAATGGTGCCTCCCATAGTCAAATAATCATTAATGAGGCATCACCCTTAGCGTTTATGTCTTAGGATGCTGATTCTAGAGTGTTCTATTGTTGCCTATATATATAGGCTACGTTTTTTGTAATTGAATAAAGATTTAGATGAATGAGAATTGAGTTTATCTCTCTCAGTGTGAGCTTTGCTTGCATCCTTATATTCTCGTGAGAATACTCGACAGTATCAAGGGATTGATCAACCTTGTGGTGTCTTCGTGAGAACTCTTAAGGTCCTACCTAGATCAACCGTCCGTCCGTTACTTGATTCTAGCTGGTCCGTACGTCCCCTCATATCAATTCCCCTCTACCTGTGCCTTCCCAACCTTGGGTAGATATTTCTATGGATTTTGTGTTGGGCTTGCCTAGGTCTCAATCTGGGAAAGATAGCATCTTTGTTGTAGTGAATAGATTTAGTAAAATGGCTCATTTTATTGCTTGTTCTAAAACAAATGATGCTGTGCATATTGCTGACTTGTTCTTGAAAGAAATTGTTAGATTGCATGGAGTGCCTAAAACCATTGTGAGTGATAGGGATGTAAAGTTTCTTAGCCATTTTTGGAGGACCTTGTGGAGTAAGCTTGGAACTAAGTTGTTGTTTTTTACTGTGGCACATCCCCAAACGGATGGGCAAACTGAGGTCGTCAATAGAACAATCACTACCTTGTTGCGTGCAATAATTCAAAAGAACTTGAAGAATTGGGTCAACTGTTGGCCTCATATTGAATTTGCATATAACAGGGCTATTCACTCTTCCACTTCTCTCTCTCTATTTGAGATTGTTTATGGCTTTAATCCTCTATCTCCTTTGGATATTCTGCCTTTGCCTTCTAGTGAATGAGCTAACCTTGATGGCAAGAAAAAGGCTGAGTTTTTGCAGGAATTACATGCCAAGGTGAGGGCCAACATCGAGAGAAAGAATGAGCAATATACAAAGCAAGCTAACAAAGGTCGTAGGAAGGTTGTCTTTGAGCCTGGAGACTGGGTTTGGGTACACTTGTGAAAGGAGAGGTTTCCAAAACAACGAAAGTCTAAGTTGCAGCTAAGAGGAGATGGCCCTTTCCAAGTCTTGGAACGAATCAATGATAACGCTTATAAAATAGATTTGCCTAGCTCCTACGGTAATGTAAGTGCTAATGTGACTGATTTATCTCTCTTTGATGCTACAGATTCGAGGACGAATCCTTTTGAGCAGGGAGGGAATGATAGAGGAGTATGGCATGATCAAGCATCAAAGGAAGACCAAAACATGGAGCGTGGAGCCCGAGCTAAAAGATGGAAGTCCAATATTCTAAAAGACCCATTACAAGACATTGCAGGCCCAATGACAAGAGCAAGGACCAAAGCTATGAAAGAGGCGCTGAATTGTTTGATAAAAGATCTTAAAGAGTTAGAACCCATTTATTTGGAAGAAGCATCCCTTAATCAGCCCATCAAGGGTCCAAACATGATGATTATATTGCTAGAAGCCAAACAAGATGATGTACAAGGCCCATGTACAGTCCAGATTGAAGAATTCACTCAAAATACCATGTGACAAGCATGTGCCTTGGAGGAGGAGCATAAGTGACGTCCAAGAATATTCAAGAAGCATCAGAAAGTCGTCTTTATGTATTAGTTATGGTTTAATTTCGTTTTTTTAAAGTTTCCATTTTTATTTGCATTAAATAAGGCCTTTTGGTCAAAGATTGCATAAGAATATTTTAGGTTAGTTTCCTATTTTTAGGTAGCAGCCTTTTTCTTCAAGAAAAGGTAATTTCCTATTTCCTTTAGCCTTAATTGGTGCCAACCAAGATAGTCAATCATCATTAAGGCACATTTATGGCATTTATGACCTAGGTTTTTTTTAATTCTAGATTGTTCTTTTGCTGCCTATGTAAGGCTGCGTTTTTGTAATTGGCGATCAAATTTGAATGAATGAATTTTAGAGAATTTTATTTCTCTTTAGTGAGCTTTGCTTGCCGCCTCGTATTCTCGTGGGAATACTCAACTGTATCAAGGACTGATCATCCTTGTGGTGTCTCCATGGCTAGGGTTGTAAGAGACAGGTTCTCTTAAGGTCCTACCTTCGATCGTTCGTCTAGTTTCCTAACTTGTTTCTAGTCGATCCATATCCGTACCTTATATCAGGATCTCAATCCTAAATTAAACCAGTTAGGTGCTCGTCTGAGCCAATT